AATGGTGAAAACAAAACACACACATCCTCTTCACGGAGCTCATTTCCCCTTCCCAAGCCGGAGTTCCTGTCCCCAAGCACTGSAATGCCAGAACAGTTTCACAGCAGCAGCTCCAGCAGGATTCCGATCCGGGGCAGAGCACGCACATCCCACCCGGCGCTGCAAGACAACCTGTATTCTTTCTTTCCTGTACTCTTCTGAGTGAAGCTTCTCAAGCAGAACTGACCCCCAACAGGCAGAGCGTGACCTAAACGTCCTTGTGGCTCGGCACAGTGAGACGAGAGGAACAATAAGGGTCACAAACTTGGGGCTACAGGGAAGAAGCGGAGCCCTGTGCATGGACACCCAGGAGGGGCGCTGCGGATGGCGCAACGCGCCGCTGCCGGCAGCTCCAGCTCCCTGCTGCCGAGCGCCTTGACGGACGAGGTTCTGGAAGCTGCGCTGCCTCCGGCGCGTCGCTCCGAGCCACCTCCGCCAGCGGCAGGGCTAGGYGACACGGGCAGTTTCCTTCAGGGAAAACTATCCCATCGAGAACGCTGCGCTGTGAATCCAATCCATGGAAATCCCCCACAGTCAGGGAACATCCACRTGGCGTCCAGGCCTCCCCTCGCCCCAAGCACACCCAGTCCCAAGGCCGGCAGCCTGGGCACTGCTGCAGCAGCTCTGGCCGCCTGGCTCGTGCCGCGTCTCTGCCCGCAGCTCCGGAGCCGCGCCAGGCTGCGCTGAGGCGGCTCCCAGGTCCCGCAGCGCAGCGCAGCAGGGACAGCGCTCACCGACAGGGAGCCGGGCCCTCACCCGCCCAGGGGCAGCAGCAGCGTTCGCCACTGAGGCTCCGTTCGGCTGCATTTCCATAACGAACCCGGAAATCTTCCACCAATCTTTATAATTATGGTCACTGAAAGTTGTGGCATTGATGCCTGGAGAGAACTCAAAGCATCAACCAGCTTCCCTGCTACAGCAATATACTGATGAGGGGACGGCTAAAAATGCCCCGTGCAATTTGCAAATAGCAAGATATGCAACTTCACTGCTGTTCCAACACGTCTCAAAGGATACGGCAGTGGGGACAGCTTTGCGCTCTCAAGGAAAAAAAATTGTATTGTTAATTACTTGTATTAATAACTTGTACTAATAATTGTATTATTAATTAACTAAAAATTAATTGTACTATTAATTAATTGTACATTAATTGTATCTCTGAACAACCCAACCATTTCCATTGCATCCACAGTGTATCCACACACATCAAGTGCATGGACAAGGATCCCACCAGTAACACTGCTAAGCCAAGCAACACAGGGCCAAGTATTRTTCAGGACTTTGGACTTTTAGCAATTCCCACAGCTATGCCGGTGAAGTTGTTTCCTCAAATCAACAATTTAAACATCCACGCAATGTCCGTGAGACAGGACAGCATTACCCATTCCAGCTTGGAAACACCGCACTCGGAGCACGGCATTTTGCTTACAGTTATGGCACTAAAGATTCCAGCTCCCTTAAAGCAAATGCATGAGCATCAAAAATTAGGTTAAAACAGATGGTAGGAGTGACTCCTGTAAGTATTTACACGTTTTGTTCCCGTGCCCATCAGGGTTTTTCAGCAAGTTAAGGTCATTAACTCGTCAGACGTAAGGTAAAACAAGCCTGTTCTCCCAAATGGCAGCTGCTGGGCTACTAGAGCAGGGTGGGCCTGCGTGAATGACAACCCTGAGCTTGGCCTAGGACAACGTCTGCTGCTCGGGCCGCCCCTGGTCTGGCAGCATGGGGCACATTCGGGTTCCCCACCGCGCTCGCTAGAGCTGGGGCTTCACAACTGAGGTATCCGACTGAGCCTAGCGGAACGAACTCCAGGCCGAGGGCACAAATGCCCAGCTGCTCTCGGAAGCGCAGCTTAACCCCAGGTATTTCTGTATGCAGCATTCAGCAGGTCCCGCTTAGCTCAGGTCTCCCCCAGTAAAACCCGAGTAATCCTCAGGTAATCCTCAGCATCACTGCGGCCCTTGGGCCTCCTGGGTTTGGGTTCTGCGGACGTGAGCTGCTCGGCCGGCCAGGATGTGCTTGAGCCCTGCGTGAGGCGACGCGAACGAGCCTAGTGCACCCCGACGGAGAGCGGGAAGCGCCCGGGCTTGCCGGCCTCCCAGGGCAGCCTCCCGGGAAACGGGCTTTGGGAAAGGCACCCAGCCACCCGAGTGCACAGCGCAGCCGTAAAGCAGCAGTGATCCAGTCTCACCCACTCTGCACCAGCTCGGACTTCTTCTGTTTTTGCAGACTCCCTTTCGAGTGCTTTGAGGAGCCTTTGAATAAGCTCCCCTGAATGGGCAGCATAAATTGCTCTTGTGCTTTCGTGCCCYTTGCAAAGCAGCCCTTTGCACAGCATTCAAAGGCTATAAGAGCTGTAACAGGTCTTAGAAGAACAGCTCAGGRTGGAAAAAAAATGGATTTAATTGGCAGTAAACATCAATTGTGTTAGTAAATAACTTCAGCTGAGAAAAAGCCATTTGGATAATTAAGATCAAAGAAGACAGTGCCGCTCTGTCAAACTTGGGAACTGTTTCAGAAAATACAGAATAGTTTACAGTCTTTTAGCCTTTCTTTTTCCAGGTATAAGCATCAACTTAAGTTAGACAACACTTCTTTCTTTACCATGAGGAACTGGCATAAGTGCAACTAAGTGTTTATTTCCAACCGCTTTTTGTGAAAGGTATTTGCAACCTGAAAGAAYGGGATGAGGTGTCAGAGCAAAGCGAATGCCTAACTCGCGAATCTGCCTGCCCCTTGCTAAAAAACACCAGCAAGGAGGACAGGCCTCCAGTCTCCTGCCTGACACAAGAAAAGAAGTTCTGCATCACCTCCTAAGCAGCTCCCGTTCAGCCAGGCTGGGTATATCCCCAGAAAAGTAAGTACCCAGCACGGGTTATCGAGGTATCGATGCAGATCCTGCTCATCTCACCAAATACCACCATTAAATAACAGTAGAACAAGCAGAGACAAACACTGCTCTCAAGAGTGCCTGTAGCTGACCACAGAAATGTCCCATAGATCATACAGGACCTTCTATTATTACAGAATGAGCCCCTGCACTTTCCACTTCATGCAGGCACCCGAAGAGGCAGAACCGGGTAACACAGGCTACCAAGGAATTACAAGTTTCACTGAAGAGCATTTCTGTGACGATACTTTTCCTGGGATAACAGCAGCAGCCTGTTCCAAGCACAACTGCACTCTCGGTTGGGCAGGATAAGGCAGTGGCAGGGCCCAAATAAGCTGGGGTACAGCCTGACTCACTGACTTCTTTTTCTAGCTCAATATAAAAAACATAAAAACCTACAATGTAATGCAAATATTTCTTCAAAAATAACACCATAAAAACCTTCTTTAAACTGTCTTTATCTCCAGCACATCACGTGAATATAGATTTTTTCTTGATCGTGGATTATCCTCAATTTGAAATTCATGTTCTTAGTTTGTATTGAGGATTGCATATACGGAAACATCCCTGTAACTCYATAGGCTGTGGCAGTGCTGTTCAAACGTTGTCAGACTGTAACCTATTCACAAGCAGTGTGGAAGAAATTAAAATGCTGTGTCCCTAAATTACAGTTATACCTCGAATTAGGAATAAAAGATACTTGCATGTACATACACACACGTGCACATCCTTCTCATACAGGTTCCTGGGAGGACAAAAAAAAAAGCCATTTTAAAACCCAAATGCAAACGCCGCTTGTGTTTTGTTTTGAACTACATACTTTTATTTGGGAACTTTTACTGGCCAAGATCAATTTACCTCCTCCGGCTTAGGGGATGTTTGCCCTTGCTGGCGTACACGGGCTACCAGCTGAGAGGATGTTTTGTTCAGAGGGGATGTGACCCAGCGGCTCCTCTGCGCAGCACAGAGCATCGGCCAGGAAGTTAGGGAAGAAAAGTGATTTTCTCGTCTCGCTGAGAAAACAACATTGAAAAGAAAACCAAAAGCAAACAAACATTTTCTCACTTTCCAGTTACAGCCACTTTGCGAGTGTCCGACAGAAACACTTTGCACGCATTCCATGTGAGTATCATCAGGTAGCTGTACCAACGTACACGAAGCCCCCTCCTTTACCAGGGATTAAAGATGCCTTTGGAAAAGCAGCTTTCCCACCCAGCAGGGCAGCAGTGCCCACAGCGGCGCTTGGCTGCCGAGCGCRGCGCTCCGGCCTTCCCCGCGGGCAGCGCAGCCCCGTAATCCACACGGAGGAAGATCCCTCCGGCGCAGTCACTGGGTCACTGGGTGAGCCGGGGGGAGCCGGGCCCTGCGGACACGTGACGGGAGCCGCCGGGCCCGGCTGCACGCGTGTCCTGCAAGGAGCCCTCCCGCAAAGCTGGAGCAGCCCTGAGCGCGCTRCAGTGCGCCAGGGAGGCTGTGCACACCAAAGCCCTTCTAACTCGTCACTTACACGTTTTCACTTGGGGGATTTATTTTTTAATTTAATACAACTCTTCAAAGACACATCCACTTTCATACAGTCAAAGTCTCACGCTAACTTGGCCGCAGGATTCGATCGTGTCCCCAACATTTCTAGAGCTCTTAAAAACAGTGTTACAAACGCCTGGAGTCTTCGAAAACATTTCAACGAGTGTTTCCGCACGAGGCGAAGGTTTCCCTGCCCACCATGAAACAGGTGTTTAGATCTGACCRCCCGTGGCAAACCTGGTGGGGAGGGAGAAGCCAACGAGGAGAGTCGGGCAGTTCGCATCGCCCGGCGCTGCGTSTACCGGGAGTGAGGAAAGGGCGGCCATCCTTCACCACCATTCCCACCGGGAGCCACGTCCTCCGCGGGATCTGCTGCTCCAGAGCTGCCAGAGCGCGGGGTGGGTCTGGCTCTGAGCGCCTCCCTCGCGCCTGCTCCTCCATTTCGGGCCGCTCCCTCCCTCAGCGCGCGGCCCTGCTCCATGCCGGGCGCTTGGTCCCGCTGGGGGGACGGGGCAGCGGGTCGCCCGTGAGCGGCGTGGGCACCGCTCGGTGCGGGCAGCCTGTGCCTCGCGGCGGGGCCGTCACCGCGTGTCGCCGCTGCTGAGCGGGTAGGCCAGGAGGCTCATGGCCTCGCCGCAGGCGGCCTCCACCTGGCGCACCTGCTGGCGGCTGAGGCGCTCGCGCCACGCGTGGATGGCCTCGCGCGCGTCGCGCGCYGAGATGAGGAAGGGCCGCTCCGAGGAGTAGTCGGCGCCGCGCGTCATGTTCACCACGAAGGCCTCCATGGCGGGCGGCACGGGCAGCCCGGCGAAGCGCAGCAGGCGGCGCAGCTGCGCGCGCGGCTCCCGCACCAGGTCCTCGTAGCGCAGCTGCGTGTAGCGGCGCCGCAGCCAGGCGGGCGCGCGCCGCGCCAGCAGCAGGTCGCCCAGCCAGCCCTGGCAGATGACCTCGAGGGCGCCGCCGAGGAAGTGCTCGGCCCGGTGCTGCGGGCCCGGCGGCGGCCGCGCGCCGCCCAGCAGCGGTGGTGGCAGCAGCAGGTGCTGGCGCGGCGGCCCGCGCGGCTCGGCGCGCTGCCGGCTCCGCAGCACCTGGATGCTCTCGCGCAGCAGCGCCTGCTTGGCCTTGAGGCGCGAGTTGTGCACGGCGCGCGGGTCGCGGAAGAGCTGGATGACGCGCAGGTTGAGGCCGGGCTCGCGCAGCAGCGGCTGCAGGGCGCCCAGCTCGAGCAGCCGCACGTCCTTGATGACCACCACGGGGTACTTGCGGCACTCGGCCTCCAGCTCGCGCAGCGCGCGCGGCGGGCAGCGCTCCTCGCACGCGGCGCCGTCGATGAGGCCGATCTCGTGGCGCGGCCGCGGCGCCGCCGGGCACAGCGGCGCCGAGCAGATGACCTTGTTGGTGCGCCAGCCGAAGATGCCGGCCGTGGTGAGGTTGACGGCGGCGGGCGGCTCGCGGGCGGCGGGCGGCGCCGCGTACAGGCGCAGCACGGAGAAGTCGCAGCGGAAGAGCGCGCGCACCATGTCGCGCAGGGCRCCCTGCAGGCTCAGCGCGTCGCCCGGGTACAGCGCCTGCCACAGGTGCCACATGGGCTCGTAGAGGTAGAACACGTCGGGGTGCTGGTTGAAGAGCTCGCCCAGGAAGGAGGAGCCCGTGCGCCACGTGGCGTGCAGGTAGATGTGCCGCTTCCTCGCCGCCGCGCTGCCGTTGCCGCCCGCTGCCGCGACGCCCTCCTCGTCGCCCTCGTCATCGCCATCACCACCGTCGCCCTGCGGCGCCCGCTGCTCCCAGCCCCACTCGCTGAGCGCCGCCTCCAGGCTGGGGCAGCGCCGCAGCAGCGGCTCCTCGTCGGCGCGGCCGCGCCACGCGCCGTAGTCCAGCACGTAGGGCAGCAGCAGCAGCAGCAGCAGCGTGTAGAGCAGCAGCAGCGCGGCGAAGCGCCGCCGCCGCCCGCGCCAGCGCCGCCGCGCCTTCATGCCGGACCCGCCGCTCCGCCGGGCCAAGCTGCAGGCGGCGGCGGCTGCGGGGAGGGCGGCAGAGACGGAGGGAGGGAAGGGGGGAGGGACGGGGGTGGCCCCGGGCGGCGCTCCCCGAGCCCGCCCGCCGCGGAAGGGGCCGCACCTGCCCGACCGT